ACAACCACAACCACAACCACATCAACAACCAACTCGACAATGACCATGATAATCATGAACAATACGAACATAATACTGAGCAGTAGCGACCAAGTCATTGTCACCATCGTCATCGCCATCACCATAACCATCAGTGCCGCCACTGCCATTGTTGCCGGCACCAGCAAAGAAAGTAGAATGTCATGGAGCTGTGATTCGCGTAAATAACATCATCTACAAGATTTCGCCACTCCCCGCACCGCAACCACTTGGATGGGCTAGGAAGTCCGGATTGATGGGCTCCAGAACAAGACCTTCGCCATCAGGAGCCTTGTTAAAATTAAAAGACTCGAAGACTCTACTGCAATTCAGCAATCCTGCAATCGTCCAACAATCGCCAAAGCGATTCCTCGCCGAAAGTTGCTTAGGTCATTCATGTGACAAGAAGCAGGTCTTTCTAGTACCATGGTGTACAATGTGACCGTCTGCAACTTTCTGTGTGCAAATAAACACAAGGCCCCAGCATGCCTCAACTAAGGCGCCGTGGTCATGCTAGACAGTCGTCATCTGACCGCAGGACCATGCGCTGTTTCGACCTCAGGCTCTGCTGGTCTCAACCCACAACCCGAGAACGGCAATAAGAAAAGCTGTCTTGGAATGTGAAGATTGTCAAGATAGTATGGGTCAACGCAATGACCATCTTCTCGCGGTAGCAGTAGCAGCTATTTATTGCGGTCGATGCAGTCGTTGTGCGAAGTACCTCCAGAAGTAGTGGTGGGTGGTGGTGGTGGTGGTGTTGGTGGGGGTGGTGGGGGTGGTGATGACGGTGGTGCCGGTCGTGTGGCACCAGTTATAACTAGTAGTACTAGTAGTACAAGCAATACCAGCACTAGAACTAGCACCAGTAGTAGTAGTAGTAGTAGTAGTAGTAGTAGTAGTACTACTAGTAGTAGTAGTAGTAGTAATAGTAGTAGTAGTAGTAGTAGTAGTAGAAGTCATAGTAGTAGTTTTACTGGTAGTGATACTAGTAGTAGTAGTAGTAGTAGTAGTAGTAGCAGTAGTAGTAGTAGT